AAAAGAATTATCTTTCTTAGATATTTCCACTTAAGATAGGTGATAAGGGACAATTTTGCATGTTGTATGAAAGGCATAAAGTGAAGTAAAAGCCATTTAAAACTTTTACAACTGGAAGGGCAGGGCAGGCACTTGTGTAGCTTGTGTACATTGTCACTTACCTCCTGGCTCATCTCGTTGAGGTCAGGTCATTGGGTTGTTTCTATGTGCGCTGAAGAACTCAGGGAAAGAAATAGCTAGCTCAGAGCTTACATTTCCAGTTCAGGTTTGATGTGGAGAACCCGAAAGCTCCTGTCTAAATCTGCCCCCCCAAAAAACAAGCTCTCTGTAATCTCAATTCTATGGTAGGTTCAAGAAAAGTTATAATTCTGGGGACAAGCAGTTAGTGTAATGGCTATGTCGCTGAACTCCCATGTAGTCCACCACGGTTCGAGTCCCGGACCCGGTGGCTTAAACTCACACCGGGCAGGTGTGCATGTGTGCCCAAGATCCCGAGAGGAGAATGGAGGAGAAGGGATTCTGGTGTGGTCATCTCCCCTGGGGGATGATTTCATGCTTTCTGTCTCTTTGGTCTCTCTCTGTCTTTCTGGTGAGTGCACGCGCCCTGTAACAAAAGAAAGAAAAGTTATAATTCTGTAGTTGACACAACTCTTTCTCTTTCTCTTTTGCTACAGGGTATGTGCGTTCATCAGAGAGAGACAGAGAGAAAGAAAGAAATGATCCCCTAGGGGGAAGGCCATGCCACAGTTCCTTTTTCTCAGCCTCCTCTGAGGATTTGGGGCATGCACACACATGTGCCCAGTGTGATTTTAAAGCCGCTGGTCCTAGACTTGAACTGCGCCATGCGTAACTCAGTGCCTTAACCTTCATACCCCCTGATGGCTTCTCCTCCACTCTTAAAGATCTTGGGATCTTTAAAAAAAAAAAAAAATCTTTGAGAGTGGCCAGGTCAGCAGATGGCATGGTAGTTAAGACCCTGGATTCTTATATGGCCGACCAAGGTTCAATGGCCATTCCCCTGGCGGGGGGTGATTCTTCACTTTCCCTCTCTCTGTCTCTCTCAGTCTCTGGTGAGTGCATGTGCCCCTATAACAACACCTGAAAAAATTTTTCAATGCCTTTCCAGACTCTGTGTGTGTGTGTGTGTGTGTGGGTATATATATATTATGTGTATATATATATATATGTATGTATATACACCCACACACAAACATATATATATATTCTTTTTTTTTAAGAGAGAGATTTTTGCTAAAGAGTGTGTTCGTTCACCAGAGAAACAGACAGAGAGACTGAAAATGAGAAATCACTCCCTAGGAGGAATGGCCATGCCACAATCCCTTCTCCTCCATTCTCCTCTTGGGATCTTGGGCATGCACACATATGCACCCAGTGTGAGTTTCAGTTCTCTGGGTCTGGGACTAGAACCAAGGTTGGGCATATGACTGACTGTGCGGTTCAAGTCTTGGACCTGGTGGCTTGAAATACACACCAGACACATATGTGTGTGTGCCCAAAATCCTTAGAAGAGAATGGAGAGAAGAGCTTACAGTGTGGTCATTCTTCTAGGGGTTGCTTTCTTCCTCTCTGTTCCTTTCTGGCAAGTACACACACCCTATAGCAAAACAAACAAATGAACAAGACTGGGCCATTAGGTATGTTTAACTTTAGTAGATGCAGTGACACCGAAATGCGTCAACTTGGCTAGGCTGAGCTATGGTTCATAGAATTATCTTTCTTAGTGAATGAATGTAAATTAATTAATTAAAAAGAAAATAAAATTTTATGGAACCAGCTGTTAGCGTAATGGCTATGTTGCTGGACTCCCACGTAGTCGACCGCGGTTCATGTCCCGGACCCAGTGGCTTAAAACTCACGCCGGGCGCATGTGCGTGCATGCCCAAGATCCCGAGAGGAGAATGGAGGAGAAGGGATTGCGGAGTGACCATCCTCCCTGGGAAGTGATTTCTCGCTTTCTGTCTCTATGTCTCTCTCTGTCTCTGGCGAGCGCACGCGCCCTAGAGCAAAAACCTCTCCAAAAAAAGAAAAGAAAATTTTAATTAAAAAAAAAAGAATTATCTTTCTTAGATATTTCCACTTAAGATAGGTGATAAGGGACAATTTTGCATGTTGTATGAAAGGCATAAAGTGAAGTAAAAGCCATTTAAAACTTTTACAACTGGAAGGGCAGGGCAGGCACTTGTGTAGCTTGTGTACATTGTCACTTACCTCCTGGCTCATCTCGTTGAGGTCAGGTCATTGGGTTGTTTCTATGTGCGCTGAAGAACTCAGGGAAAGAAATAGCTAGCTCAGAGCTTACATTTCCAGTTCAGGTTTGATGTGGAGAACCCGAAAGCTCCTGTCTAAATCTGCCCCCCCAAAAAACAAGCTCTCTGTAATCTCAATTCTATGGTAGGTTCAAGAAAAGTTATAATTCTGGGGACAAGCAGTTAGTGTAATGGCTATGTCGCTGAACTCCCACGTAGTCCACCACGGTTCGAGTCCCGGACCCGGTGGCTTAAACTCACGCCGGGCAGGTGTGCATGTGTGCCCAAGATCCCGAGAGGAGAATGGAGGAGAAGGGATTCTGGTGTGGTCATCTCCCCTGGGGGATGATTTCATGCTTTCTGTCTCTTTGGTCTCTCTCTGTCTTTCTGGTGAGTGCACGCGCCCTGTAACAAAAGAAAGAAAAGTTATAATTCTGTAGTTGACACAACTCTTTCTCTTTCTCTTTTGCTACAGGGTATGTGCGTTCATCAGAGAGAGACAGAGAGAAAGAAAGAAATGATCCCCTAGGGGGAAGGCCATGCCACAGTTCCTTTTTCTCAGCCTCCTCTGAGGATTTGGGGCATGCACACACATGTGCCCAGTGTGATTTTAAAGCCGCTGGTCCTAGACTTGAACTGCGCCATGCGTAACTCAGTGCCTTAACCTTCATACCCCCTGATGGCTTCTCCTCCACTCTTAAAGATCTTGGGATCTTTAAAAAAAAAAAAAAATCTTTGAGAGTGGCCAGGTCAGCAGATGGCATGGTAGTTAAGACCCTGGATTCTTATATGGCCGACCAAGGTTCAAGTCCTGGACCTGGCAGCTTGAAAATCACATTGGATGTGTGTGGATATGTGCCCTAAATCCTGAGAGAGTGGAGGAGAAGAGATTGCCGCATGGCTACCCTCTGGGGATGATTTCTCATTTTCTCTCTCTCTGTCTCTTTCCATCTCTCTTTGGTGAGTGCATGCATCCTATGGCAAAACCTTAAAAAAAAAAAAAAAGAAAACAAAAAAACTTCGGTGGCAGGAACCAAAAATGGGAGGTGGGGGGGTCTTCCAAAAGTTCATGGAAAATTCATATTATAAAAACTCTATGCATGAATTTCAATTTTGTTTTTTGGTGCCAAAGTAAACTTGTGCTTTAATTCCATGTCCTTTGAACTTCTGCGGTACTTCATATACTCACAAAGGCCAGACGCAGTGCAGTACGGCGTTACATAGATGTTTGGGGATAAATCGGAAAGAAAGGTGCAGGGGACAACTGGTGAGTGACTAAGCTAATTGATTCGGTGAGAACTAATGAATCCGACTGCTCTGATGTTGGGTTTAGTTACGTTTCTGGAAACACGTGGAAGGAAGAGGGCAAAAACTGCAGTGTGACCAAGAATCTGCATTACCGAGAACTAGTCTCTTAGTGTCTCTGGTTGCTCAAATGGTGAGAATGAATGTGGCCACATCCCAATTCCTTCGAGAAACCCAATCTTTATACCTGCCCATTTACTTACGCCTGTGAGTACCCAGTGAGTGTGAAAGTGCTTTGAGAAGTATAAAGCGTGCAAGTGGAACTTTCTAGTGTTTGGTTGGGCGAAGCATGGGTGGTCTAATTCTCTCCAGGATCGGGAGCAAACTAACAAGACCCGTCAATATGCTGAGTGTGTAGACCAGTCTCCACACCTCACTGCTGGTCCTTGCAGGCAGGACCTGGGGCCAGCCCCGCCAGAGCTCTATGGCTGGAAGTGGGAACCCTCATAATATGCAGCGTCCAGGCCTGTCCGACTCTGACCCAAGGGGTGAAAGCCATGACGAGAGGCAAATATAAAATCTATCTGGCACCAGCAGATGGCATAATGGTTACATCACTGGATTCCCAAATGGCTGACTGCAGTTCAAGTCCTAGACTCAGAGGCTTGAAATTCATGCTGAGTGTGTGCGCATGAGTGCCCAAAATCCTGAGAAAAGAATGGAAAAGGGATTGTGATGTGGCCATCCCTCCAGAGGGTGATTTCTCGCTTTCTGTCTGTCTCTGTCTTTCCAACAAGCGTATGCACCCTATAGCAAAAGTCTCCTTTTTTTTTTTTGGAGAGGTTTTTGCTATAGGGCGCATGTGCTCGCCAGACAGACAGAGAGAGACAGAGAGATAGAAAGCAGGAAATCACCCCCCAGGGGGGATGGCCACACCGCAATCCCTTCTCCTCCATTCTCCTCTCGGGATCTTGGGCACGCACGCACACACGCCCGGCGTGAGTTTAAGCCACCGGGTCCGGGACTCGAACCGCGGTCGACTACGTGGGAGTCCAGCGACATAGCCATTACGCTAACTGCTGGTCCCAGCAAAAGTCTCCTTAAAAAAAAAAGTCTTCCTCCCTATAATGTGAAAGGAGGGGTGACGAGACCGCACGCTGGCTGGGCGCAGGTGGGGGAGGCCGCCAGCCATGGTCACACCCTCACTTCCCCTACTTCAGCAATGGTCGATGGAAGGCAAACAGGACAGAAACTTCCACAGAACCAAGAGCTCTGCCCTCCTTGCCCCTCTCACCACAACCCCCTCTGGTCCCACCTCTCTCCCTTAGAGGCTCTGGACAAGTTCAACCCCACCCATGCAACATCAAGGCAGCTCACAGAAAGGGTCTGCATGGAAGTCAGCTTAATGAACAGACTTGGGTCATCCAAGAACTAACCCTTTGAAAGCAACAGGGAAGATGTGGAGGCACGGAGACTTCACATGAGGTCTCAGTCAGGGACGAGGTTGTGGCCCACAGTGGGGAACGGCCCAAAGAAGCCCTAAAATGAGAAGAAACAGGCACTTGGAGTCAGGAAGTAGAGGGGCAGCCCCTGCCTCACCTACACTCCTTGCCTGAGTACTTCATTAACAGCCTGGCCGGCCGCTGACTAAGAGCCCGACCCTTGGCTCCCACATGCCTCCCTACCCCGACTCGTCTGTGATTTTCTCTGAGGCTCCAGAAGTAGTAGCTCTGTGTTTGCATTTCTGGAGGCACCGAGGCAACGGTCCCCTGCAGGTGGGTCTGTCACTTAGCTTTGATTATGTTGCCCCAGTAACCAATCCAGGCTTAGGAAACCCAGCTGCCACACTGTGGGGGTTTCCTTGGAGAGCCTGGAGAGCAGGAGACACTGGAACCCGCTGGGTGCAGGTCGCCTCTAGACGGGGAGGTGCAGCCAGCTGGTGTGCCCAGCTCCGCCGCGACCACCCAAATACAGGCCACCTCAGTCTCCCTGGGCCAGTGTGATTGGCTCCTTACAGGCCTCTCAGTTTTCATTCTTGTCCTCATAATCCATGCTCATATCACTTTTTATTATTTCTCCTCCATTCTCCTCTTGGGATTTTGGGCACGCACGCACACGTGCCATGCGTGAGTTTTTAAAAAAGATTTATTTTATCTTATTTTATTTATTATTATTTTAATTTGCCACAGGACAAACATGTTCAACACAGAGAGAGAGAGAGAGAAAGTGAGAAAGCAAGCCACCAGGTCTGGGACTTAGCCACAGTCAGACATGTGAGAGACTAGCGCCTTTAACCACCACAACACCTGCTGACTCTCTAGGCATGAGTTTTCAGCTGCTGGGTTTGGGACTCAAACCGAGTTGACTACATGGGAGTCCAGCAATGTAACCATTACGCCATCTGCTGGTCCTACCAACATCACTTTAAAATTGTGTATCACAGGGCTGGCAGGTGGCCTGGTGGTTAAGGCACTGGACTCCCACGTGGTTGACTGTGGTTGGAGTCCAGGACCTCGAGGCTTGCTTTCTCACTTTCCTTCTGTCCTTTCTCTCTGGTCAAACTGAAAAATGATAATGATGAATAAAGTTAAAAAAAATAATTCTTTAAAAAATGTGTATCAGGTGGTGTGGTGGTTGAAGGCGCTGGACTCCCACATAGCCTACCATGGTTTGAGTCCCGGACCTGGTGGCTTGCTTTTGCACTTCTTTCTCCCTCTCTCTCTCACTCTCTCTCTCTCTCTTGCTCTGTCACTCTCTGGTCAAATTAAAATAAAATAAATGCGCAAATAAATAAAGTTAAATAAAATAATTCTTAAACAAATGTATTTCAGGGCTGGCAGATGGTGTGGTGGTTAAAAGCGCTGAACTCCCACATGGCTGACCACAGTTCAAGTCCCGGACCTGGTGGCTTACTTTCTCACTTTGACTCTCTCTCTGCCTCTCTCTGATCAAAACTGGGCGGGGGGGGGGGAAGCATTTAAAAATGTATATCACATTATGACATTCTTATCCTTAAATTTTCCAACTTCCCGTTGCACTTAGAATCAAATTCAATCTTTTGCCACAATCTAAGCCCTGAAGGGTCAGTCTTGGACCTGCTTCTCCAATCTCACCTCGCAACTGACTTCTCTGCTCCTCTATCATGCCCTAGTAGCCCCGCCCCAGGGCAGTCGTAGTTGCAGTACTCTCTGCCTGGAGTGCCCTTCCTTTTCATTTTCCTCGAGCTGCCCCTTCTTGTAGTTTAGGTCTTAGTCCAGAGACTGTTTTTCATTGTGGAGGAGTCTGATGTCTGGAACAGCCCAACCCTCACTGTGGTCCTTGAAAAGAAGGGGCAGTCAGGGTAAGGAGCTGGACACCAGGAGGTAGATCTTGGGTCTGGTCTTGACTCTTCCATGAATCCATTACACACACTTCAGTAAGTCCCTTGACCAGTCTAGGCCTCAATTTCATATCAATAAAGATAGATAGTAGTTGAGGCCAACAGGTGGCAAGTGGTTAAGGTGGCTGGACTCCCACCTGGCTTACTGTGGTTCAAATCCCAGACCAGGCAGTTTGCTTTCTCACTTTCCTTCTCTCTCCCTGTCCCTCTCTGGTCAATTTCAAAGCTAACTAACTAAATAAATAAATAAAATAATGACAATGAGTGAAATTAAATTACATATATATATATTAAAGGAAGATAGGTAGGGAATCAGCAGTTAGCGTAATGGCTATGTCGCTGGACTCCTACGTAGTCGACTACA